GATGAATATAAAACTCCATTATGTATCAACACTACATTTTTCATTACCCATTTGTTTGTCGACGGGCACTTAGTCTGGTTCTATAATATGGGCTATTGTGAATTGCACTATTGTAAACATTGGTATGCATGAATCACTATAGGATGMTGTATAGTATGTTTGATTTTAGTTCTTTTGAATAAATACCAAGAAGTGGAATAGCTAAGTAATATGGTGGTTCCATTCCTCAATCTATGACTGCTTTCCAAAGTGGTTGTACCAATTTGCAGTCCGTCAACGATGTCTAAGTGTACCTTTTCCTGTATTTTCACCAGCAATTTTTATTTGTATTCTTGATGATTGCCATTCTAACTGGAGTGAACACACATATCAAGTGCCTGCCAACATGCATGCACTCTTTTCCCTTCTGGATGTGTACGTGTGTAAACTGAACTAACATCTTGTGAATTTTCCCACTCTTAGATGAACCTGTCAGAGATGCAGGTGGCTCAAACTTCCACATTAACTAGACTTAAAGCAAACAGAACAGAAAGGTTTAGCCTGCCCCTAGTAAGGAGCTCCTTCAGTGGAGAAAGAGCAACTATGGAAAAGGGAATCCTGTCCTTGTTCCATAGCTCTCCCTCTTTGTATATATAAAAATGAATTTAAAAATGCCAGGAAGATTCTGGTTATTTTCCTGACCTTCAAAATTACCCTGCTCCTTGATATATGTGCAATAACACTGACATTATATCTGTGACCTTTAAAATAGCAAGATTTTCTCAACACTGAAGGCAGCTTAATTAACACAGGAAGCTTTTGAACCTCAAACACACTTGCTTAGCCTTCCCACGTCTGGGTCTAGTTTCAGCCTCCTCCAGGTGACTCAAGAACATTTCTATCATTTCTTAAAGAAACGATAACGAGAAAACAAGAGACACTTAGATTCAAGCCCTTACCCACACAGCAAATGCTTCTTTGTCTTGTTAGTGCCCACAGGGTAAAGGCATGGACAGGGAGTTCTTGAAACTGGTACTTGTCGCCTGGAACACACCCTGCTGGTAGTAAAGAGCATTTTCCTTGACAGGCCCCAAACTCCTGGCAAAGCTTCTCAAACTGTGGTCACTTCTTATAGCTCAATAAAATGCAGATTCCTTGCCCTACCTGAAGCACACAGATCATACCTGTCTCTAGGATCAGGCTTAGAAATCTGCATGTTCTCAAGTTCCCTAGGTGTTTCTTGTACATCCCGAAATTTGAGAGCTGTATTAGGGAAGCATCCTTGCTGATTCACAGATTGTTCCAGGAAGGATCTTTTCTATTTTAATGAAARATGAGTTTTGAAGGTTCTTACAGGAGAAAAGCCAGAGAAGGAGAAAAGGCAGGCAGGGAGAGAGAAAGGGGAAGAAAGAGCGAAGGAACTGAAAGCCAAGATGTAGTCAAATCTTACACTTTGAGGAGCACTGATCTAGGAGCCCTGGGTGATTTCCTCCTGTCTTCCATCTCACCCCAGCACACTCCAAAGGATTATTTYAGGACAGTGTGGCTTTGGGCTTCAAAAATGTAGCTGCCAATGGTGGCAGCTCAGGTGATCTGACAGTGCTAAAATTCCTCAGCATCTGCACCTGGGCTAAAACTCCAATATCTGTTCTAAGTTCACCTCTTCTCCAGGACTGACGAACTAGGACCTAACAGGTTCAGCAGCTTGACTGAACTATCTACCCCCAAGCTGACAGTATTCTTCTGAAATCCTTCAGTTCGATATTTTGCAGACAATGAGTGATARCACATGCAATTCAGAATCACCATTTTACTGCCCTATAAATATAATTTCCTGCCTCCTTTCTCCTCTCCTCCAACTCAGCTGCATCATGGGCATAGCACTTCCTCTCTCATATATTTCTATTTGCACATATGGTACAGTGTGACAGCCTATTGATAGTAGTTTCATATTACAGACTTGCAGAATTAGAAAATACTATAGCTGGCAGCAGGCACCCACTGAATATCCACTGTGTCACGATGAGTCCATTTACTTTCATCAGCATTCGCCTGAGTGCTCTCTGTTGATCTTGCTTTGCAGTCACTTTGGCCACATGGCCCCAAAAGGGGCCATTTCTACAGAATTCTACTTTATTGTGTTGAGAACAAAACTGCTTCTCTTTCTTTTTATTTTCCTAGCCTTAGAGGAGCTGAGATGTGCATAGGGCCAGAAGGGAACTGGAGTCATTGGTTTAATGAAAACAACTGAGAATCACTGCTTAGTCCAATTCCATTTAATTGAGAACATTTGCATCTGATTTTGTGACAACCTAGAATAACACAGAATTGTGTGCTTTCATCACTCCCTTCAAAATGATATTCCCCTCAAGTTGCTGCATTGGAGAATCACGAACAATGACACTCAGCACACCTGGGCTATTATTGAAGGTTAGCACACAAATGCTGCAAAAGTCACTGACCAAAATTTCTAAGTGATTCTTCGGTAAAAGGGAACAAATTAATCTTTTATTTATTTTTTATTCCTTTGTCTTTCTGATTCATAAAATAGTGTTTAGTTAATAGAAACAATAAAAATGGAAATTTGGTGTTATCATCCTAAAAAGCTACCTTTGTATTTTGAATTATTGTTGTGTCCTGGTTTGCAAAGCTGACATAAGCACTTAAAATATTTATTTATAAATACTGTCAGTTACTCTCAAAATATTTGTCAAGCTTTTAAGCATATTTCTTTTACTTAACCTGCTTAGAAACATACAACTTTACCTCAACACTTAATCATGCTACAAAAGCTAGACGTGGGCAGAAAATTCCAGCTCTCCTGAGAACAATCATAAATGCTGGTACACTGATGATTAACATCTGGATCACCTTAAGGGTGTTTGTGAACCAGCAGGAAATAAATTTCTGGAGAAGGCWATAGACTTGGGGATGGTTACTTTAGTATTTAATAATAAATGGTTTTCAGTTGATAGAAAAATATTGAAATCTGACTTGTATATATGAGGCTGATTCAAATTTGATAAACATGTCCCCAAAGGAAATTACTGTGTTTATTAAAAGCCTAGGAGGGCTGAACAGAATTGCAATAGTCTTATCCTGTGGTCCTTGCTGGAGGTAGAGTAACTGCTCCCCAGTCCACCTTCCAGCCAACCAGAGAAAAGTCAATAATAAGGACAGAGTAGGATAGTTCTTAGCCTAAGTTACAAGTAGCTATGAACTGCCAAGATACCCAGGACAAGCTGTCRTCTACAAAGTAAGTGTGGCTGCCTCGCTGGTAAGATGTGATGTGTTGATGACTGTTATATTACATCTAAAATCCCATTTACTAGTAATAGAAAAGTTCACTTAAGACTTTTGCCTCATGTCTCCTGGTGCTTGATATAGTGTCTGTGTGATATTACCAATTTTCGCTTCAGGCATACTTACATGCAACAGCAAAGACTTCACAAGAATTTGCACATTAGATTCAAGGTGAAATTATGCCATTTTCATAGCAAATCAACTTTATCTTGGCAGTAAAGTGATAGGTACTTTTGCACCTAGACAAATGTCTTTGTTTTCAAGGAATTTTGAAGAAAAAAAAATAGCTGACTTTATGTGGACTATGATCAAGTCATTCTAAGGAAAGACCCAACTGGTAAGAGTCCTGTTGGCTCACTTTCTGATTGGGGCAGCTAGTTCTTGTTTCAATTTTCTGGGTACAAAGAAATAAATAAATAAAAACAAAATAAGAGTGATGTGAAATTTTTGTCTCCTGTGTGGCCCAAAGCTGCTTTGGGAAACCTTCACATATCTAACATCACACAACAAAATGTTTGTAAAAGGGTAAATTGTAGTTGATGTATCATATGAAATTTCACATCCATGAGCTTTCCTTCGGTGGAGTTAGAGCAGGGATTTATTCATGCAGCCCTACTGATTTGCAGACTGGGAGTAAATACCAGCCAGGCCTTTTGCAGCGATTACCAAGAGTCTCCTTCAGTAGAGGTGATATATTGCTTTCCTGTATTACATTAAAGTGGGGAACTGAGGAGTGAGCCCAGCTGAGCCATTCTGTACACACCTAGCCAGGCTGCAATTGATATTCAGGCAGAACTGTGAGTAGCTTTCAGAGGAAGACAGGGAGGAAGAGCATTTCTCTGCAAAATTCCCACCAGGAACACTTTTCTTTCTTTTTGTCTTAATGGCTCTTTTGTCTTCTCAGGAAGAAAAGAGCAGGTACTGTTCTTGTTCTGTAAGGTTGATACCCAAGACTGCTAAGAATCCCTTACATGACTGTGTGTGTGTGTGTGTGTGTGTGTGTGTGTGTGTGTGTGTGTGTATTCCTTTCTCTACATTTCTATAATGAAGACATAGTATATGACTTTTGATTATTGGCTATACATCAGGAAATAACCAATTTCACTCTCATGAGCAACATCTAACTGAGGCCCATAAAGGACCTGTACTGTTACTACAGGCAAAACTAAAGATAAATTGGAAGAGGAATGATCCATTCATGCCACATTTGGTAGCCACCAGCCATTTCAGTTTTATTTAATAYATGTAAGACTTTAACATGGAAGTTTTGAAAATAGAGTGACTGAGCAAGAAATTGTCAGTTGGGATTGCATTTGGGGTTAAGTGGTCAGAGTCTATTTGATTATCAAATATTATAAATATACACATATATACCCATACATCTATGAATATTATGTATACGTTACCAGATTCTGCTAAATTGTTTTAAAATATTAACTAGTAGTTTCCTGTTTTTTTTTTTCCTCCTGGAGGAAGGTACACCTAAGATAGTTGTTTTACCAGCATTATTCTGTCTAATTTTGTTGCCTTTCCAGGAACAGTTTTGAGGCATAGGCATCAAATGCCAGTTTATGTAAAATGTTGTAGATAATAACTTTTAAAAAAGACTATTTGAAATTAAAAGAGATAAATAACAATCATGTTTAACAAGCATATGAGTATCTATACACAGATATACCAGCAAAATACAACAGAAAATATGATGGCTCTGATAGGAATTAATTATGCAGATGTACCAGTGACAGCAGCTCTGAAGATGGTAACACCACCAGGTCTGTAGCTTGAGGGCCCAGCTGTCTTCGAATTCTGGCATAATTTGCTCTGACCTCCACCACTTGCTTTAACTCTGTTAAAAAATTATTTTGAGAGACAAGTCAATGTATTTGTACAAAATAATTAAAAGTCCAGAATGGTGAAAACCTTGACGATCCCTCAGAAATCCTCGGCTCCTACCTTGGACTCTGTCATTACACACTTGACCTGCTTATCACATCAGATATGTGCTAACATTCTTTGGATTTCTATAGAATGGAAGTTGTTATAGAAGGCTTCCTTCCAAGCTCTTAGTAAAGGCTGAATTGGAAGCTAACATAGGAATGCTCTAAAAATTCAACCCACTGAAAAGATGAAAGCCAAACCAGTGAAAATCATGTTCAGATTGTATAGCAAATGGCATAAAAGCACTCTTTTAATTTCACTGGGGGCTTGTGTGAAAGAAACCATTTTAATAGCATCTGGTTTGTTTTGCCAAATAAAATTCATTTTTCAAAAACCCATTGTGATTTTTTTTGATGACTGACTTCTGAATTCTAAATGTTTTTTGACATTATAGTATATGACATAAGTTATTATACTGTATTTATTTTTGAAACTCCCTGGCTGCTTTATTTTCTTATTACCTAGTACAGCCAGCAGGTCACAGAAAAATCATGTATACAATGATTAATTTTTAAAACATCTCTTAATAAGTATATACATGTAAGAGCATTTCTCTTTTTAAAAACATTCTGMATATTTAGTTTTCTACTGGATGATWATTTCTAACTTTATTTCAGCAAAAACAACAAAGTAAATTCCTAAAGAACAACTGAATTGGAATCTTTGTAATCAGTCAAATTTCCTAGAACATATGTGACTCATTGGTAAAAATTCAGACAATTGGGGAAAACCACCAGTCCTTTCACTATCAATCAACTATTTTCATAGGAAAGGAATCAACTTTCACATCATAACATTGCATGTGTTTACTAAATTGAAGATGCAAATATAAATGTTTGCCTACATAGACTTGTCAAAGGTCCAGAGAATTAACRTGGAGTAAAATGATAAGGAGAGTAATATTTGCATTTCCAATTTTCTCAATGCCCTTTATATTTTTTATTGGAGACAGGCTTGTTTCTGGGAAGGCAGCCTAGATCTTTCTTTGTGTTTTAGATACACTTTTGGTTAGCTTGCCTGAAGCATATTTAGCCTTATTTATTCAGGTCCAATGAACACAGCATGGCAAGAAGGGTAGGGTAGCCCATCCCAAGTATATGAATGCAAAGCATAAATAATAAAGGGATTGGGAAGTACTGCATTTGCTTACTATTCAATTGGCTGCAATCATTTCATGTCTGTTTATATTCTCAAATAGATTGAAAACTTTTCCAGGAAAGGAAGCCTGATTTATTTTTCTTTTTAGACTACGTTCTTTGGGAATACAAAAAACTGTCAAATAATACTTATTAATGATAAGAACCCTGCCATTGGTGTGTTCTCCAAAGTAACCACACAGTGTTGGTCACCAAGGGGTAGGGTGATGGGTAATATGGGTTACAGGAACAGCAGAACACAAAGAATACAAGAGAGCCTTCTCTGTGAGATAGGCTGGTACTCAAGGAATATTTGTGACATTCCTCAAAGCAGTCTTAGGCATCCCAATAAATCTTTGTCTCCCTACATTTTGGTCTTCATATATTGTTTTTTATTCTTTTAGGATAAATGTAAAGGCATTATTCCATTGTTTGAAAAGTTTTTGGATTACCTACCTTATATAGAACATAGTAATACTTTTATGGTGCCTTTTTAAAAGAAGAAATACAATATTTTTATTTTAGAGATGTTGAGTAATTCACTTCCTAATTTTAAAAATTTCCTTTAAAGTAAAAACAGTATTCTTTGGAATTTCCTGAAAATTATATCTCTTCTAATGTATACCTACCTACAGAAAGGGATTTGAAATTCCTCAGGGTAGAAAGGATAAAACAAGAGTTGATTCCAAATAACTATATGTTCTTTCAATTTCTGTCATTTATCAAAGAAAATGATCAAGAAATAGATAATAAACGTAGCATATATTTACTTAATACTAAAGAAAGAAAATCTGCAAACTGTTTAATTCCTAGTTAAAAAACTTAACTTTCATAACATGAAGCAGAACAATGTGGGGAGCATAATTATTAAAAAAAAATCATCACAATAGGATGCAAAATTCAAGAAGGAGGRTCTTAGAAGCAAAGATTGGATGCTTTAGTTCTTTAAAATCTTGACAGAAATGAAAAGTGTTTGCCATACCTTTCTGGGTTATAAAGTCATGTCCCATAGACACACAGATGACCATGTCTCGTTCTATGTCATCCCATGACTGAATCAATTCTCCATCTCGGGTGTACATGGTTCTGGCTGGATGGGTCATTTTGAGATGAGAGGAACAGTTATCTAGCAGCTGAAAGAAAAAGGGACACCGTATTTGAATACAGGATGTCACAATATGATCAAGTATTAAAGAATCTTAAAATTCACTATATAACCTAAAATTATTAGAAATAGGAACATAAGGGAGGGGAAGAGGGTTACACAAATGCTCTCTAAAGTGTCTACAAAACAAGGAACTTCAGTACTTGTCAGTGAGGATTTCCTTGTAGGTCCAGGGAAGAAAAGTATCTTGCTATCTAAGGAATCCTCAAATATAACAAACCCTGAATTAAGAATATAGACATCTCAGGCAGGCACAGTGGCAGACACCTGTAATCTCAGCAGCTCGGGAGGCTGAGGCAGGTGGAATGCAAGTTCAAAGCCAGCTTCAGCAAAAGTGAGGTGCTAAGCAACTCAAGGAGACCCTGTCTCTAAATAAAATACAAAATAGGGCTGGGGATGTGGCTCAGTGTTCGAGTGCYTCTGAGTTCAATTCCTGGTACCACCGCCCTGCCAAAAAGGAATATAGACATATCAAGATGGCTAAAAAGAGAAAAGTATTTTTAATAATCAAGTAACTAAAGTTACAAAAGATGAGGATACCCAGGCTCTGGCCTCTGTGTGACCCTCAACAGGTCAGGTAACTACTACAAAAGAGTCTTCTCCATTATAAAATGAAACACTTATAGTGTAAAACTTTTCTAGCTCTATGATACTATGATCAGAAAATTTCCTTTAGTTGATAAAGCTTAAAACAAGCTACAATGACCTCACTGAACTTCTCTGTTTTCCTTGGAATACTCATAAAAACTTACATACAGATGCAAAGTGTCAACAGTACTAGAAAGGTTAGTAGAAGCTAATATGTATGTGTATATAGTAGTGCATCATACAGTTGTTACCCCATTTCAGAAGCAGGTGGAGATGGGGGAGATCAGTTAGTAAATAGAGTTGAGAGAATAACTGAAAGTCAACAAATAAAGCGTAGGCAGTATTTTCACCTAAATTTAGCACCAGAAAAAAAATTCTCATATGGCTTTTAAAGTAATAGAGAAAAGCACAATTGTTAAAAATTAGAAGAAGAATYGGTGAGTCTTTATATGAACTCAGGATGGTAAAGGGCTATCTGAATATTAAAAACAATGAACAAACAAAGTAAAATTTATCACTTTTCTGTACATTAAAAAATTCCACAGATGCAATGGAAAATTGGAAATTTGATACAATGGATTTGATAATGTTATGTTTAATAACTTTACTACTTTAAAAGGTTAGGTTATCAATATGAAAAAAACCATCTGGGAGAAAATAACAAAGGATTTAATAGGGAACTCAGAGAACTTAGAAATATTATAATGTTATATTGTTCTCCATAATAATAAATGATAACACAAAGCAAATCAAAATCACCTCTACAAGTAATTTAAGACATATAAGTTAAAACATAACAATAACATTTTTCTCCTGTCCAGCCTGCCAACACATGTTTCCAAATCAGTGCACCTAGAATTGTTGACATCTTCATGTATGCCATGGGAGGGAGATGGGAACTGGGAACACAGAACACTGAATCCTCCCTAGAAAATACTCTAGCAATTGGTGTCAAAATTCTCAAGTACTTTTTGTATAATTTGATTTAGCAATCTTTCTAGGWACATATTTGAGGGAAGTAATCAGAAAGGAGATATAGATTTGTATATTAATGTGTATATTCAGTATACTTCATAATAATGAAAATTTAAAAACAACTAGCAAACAACAGAAAACTGGATGAATAAATGCATCCATTGGATAGACAATTATGATACCATTGAAAATAATGTTTTTTTTAAGAATGTTATATTATTCGGAGAAAAAGTTTCAATAGTTTGAATACACCAGCTTTCAAAACTGATTTACCACATGATTTACTATGATCATAATGGTAAAATTTACATATAAATATATACAAAACATAGAAATATATATACATATATTATATACATACATACATATTAAAATTATAAGAACTGGKTTTTGTGGTGATGAAATTTTTAGTTTCTTATTGGCATTTTCATTTTTTTCTAATTTTAAGATAATGACTGTCATTTTATAATTATAAAACAGAATAGATGTTATTCAAATAATCATGAAATTCATAGTAATTATTTTCAAAAATAAGATTATAGTAAATTCATAGTTTTCATTTGTGAATTTTTCAAAATTCTCCATAACAATATTTACCACTTAGTCTGCTMAGACTGTCAAAAACAAACACCACAGAATGAGTGGCTTAAATAACAAAAATATTGTATGGCTCTGGAGACTGGGAAGTCCAAGATTATAATGCTGGTTGAATGAGTTTCTGGCTAGGCTTGCTTCCTGACTTGCAGATGGCCACCTTCTTGCTGTGTCCTCACATGGCATAGAGAAAGAGATGGCATTCCTTCTTCTTCTTCTTATAAGGTCACCAATCCTATTTGATTTGGGACCCGCCCTTATAATCACCTTCAACTTAAATTACCTCTTAAAAACCCTATCTCCAAATATAGTCACAATGGGATATAGACCTTCAACATATGGATTGGGATTGGTTGGGACATAATTCAGTCCTTAACAGTCACTATCTATCTGTCTGTCTATCTATCTAYCTAYCTATCTTCCTTCCTTCCTTTCTTCCTCCTTCCCWCTTTCCCTCCCTCCCTTACCCACCCACTCACTCACTCCCTCTTTCTTTCTCTCTTTCTCTCTCTTCAAGACAACCAAAGGGTGTTATAGMTGGTTTTCATCTGGGCTGGGAGTAGTGGGAAGCTGTCTTAGAAATATGTACAGATAGGTATCTGGAAGAAACTTATGAGGTTGGAAAAGAGCCAATGAAAAATAAATGTAAGAATTATTGGACTGGAGATTATAGCTCATTAGTAGGGCACTTGCCTGGTGTGCATGAAGCCCTGTGTTCAATCTCCAGCACCAAATAAAAAGAAATAGCACCAWTGTACCATAAATGCAGTGAAACCTATTAATTTGTACAATTAATACATGGTAAAAGAAAAAGAGTACTTTGCCACTTAAATGTCACTACTCTACAAGAKCATGTTGTCTACAGAAATCATGTAAATCAGAAAAATGAGTAAAGTTTAATAAAAAAAAGTATAGTATAGGAAAGAGATGAGTTAAATCTATGATTATTCCACTTGTTTTTTTTACTAATGCCCATTTGCATTAGACAAAGCCAGTGAGTTTACAAAAATCTTTTAAAATCAAATTTGAAAATAAGGCATTTTCAGTGCAATTAGGTTCTAAATATCTCATCAGTTAGTGACTATTAGAGACTTTCTTAAATCTCAGTTKTTCAAATTATCTACATGTGTTCAAGTGCTTTTCTTAAGTGGGTGTGTAAATAAAATGTTTGTAATATTTGCAATAACAAAAGTTCACAGTAAAGGAACAGTGTGCTATGAATAATTTCTCACTCACAATCTATTTTGCGAGTTTAGTCTTCATAGAACAGGTCTCCACAGGGTAGGTACCCGGGCCTGTGGAACCACTGCATGCTCCCTATGGGCGTGATGTACTTGCTGATCTAAATCAAAAGAACCCATTTCTCATTCTTTCAGAACTGTTCCTCAACTGAGAGAGAACACACTGATTTTGAGATTCTGTAGAATCAAAGAGATTTCTCAGGGACAGGAGAAGACCAGAGGAACAGGGCCTATATGAGCCTAAATCAGAGAAAGGTGGTCCTGGAGAGAGAGCCACTAACCCTAGATAGAGAGCTGTCTTGGAGCTTCAATGACTGATGAGCCAACACCAGATGGAGATAAGAGTTGCTCTAGTAATTTTCCAAAAGTGTGTGGGAAGAACGCAGCTAAGCCATCCAGAACACCAGTGCAATGAGAGTAATTGAGAGAAAGTCCACATTGGATGGAATTTGAATATCATCTGGAGCTAGAGTAAAGCATCAATTTCTCATTCTTCCAGGAAAGAACTAATAATTGAAACTCTGAGCATCTTAGAAATCAGTACTATTGGCCAGGGAAATTCAAACTCCACTCTTCATGCTGCCCACACACAGTTCATTTTCCAGATGCATTCTTAACAGCGTGATAGCCTGATCTAACTGATCGGCAAGAATCTCATGCAGGCCCCTAAGCAGAAATACACTGCATAGATACGGGAAAGGAAGAAACTAGAAACTATTTTTTAATAAAGCAAAGAATCTGTAAATATMTTTCTACATACCAAGGCTACATAATCTCCCCCAAATTGCTTTCCCCATGAGATTTATTTATTCAGAGACAAGCAATGGAATTCATGTTGAAGCATTTATTCCAACTGTGACTGTCTTTGAAGACAGAGACTTTCAAGAGGCAATTAAGGTTAAACAAGGGCATGAGGGTGGACCATTGGTTTCCTCACACGGACAGCAAAAGACACCAGAGCTCTTTCTCTGTCCCTTCTTTCCCCCACCCACACATCACATGCAAAGGAGAACTCAGCAAGAAAGTGACTCTCAGTAGTCCAGAAAGGAAAGCCTCATCAGAAATCAACCCTGCTGGCACCTTGATCTTGGCCATCCAGCTTTCAAAAYAATGAAAAAATAAATTTCCATTGTTTAAGCTACATAGTCTGGTATTTTGTTATGGCAGCCCAAGCAGATATCAATACATATAATATGTAGGTCCACCRTATATTTTTAAGCAATCTACTCAACACATCTGTTCCTATTTCTCAGTCTAAGTACCATCTATTTAATATACATCATGAGCTGGGCACAGTGGCCCAGTCTTTACTCCCAGCTGAGGTAGGAGGGTTACAAGTTTGAAACCATCCAGATTACCCTAGGGACACCCAGCCTAAAAATAGTAAGTGTAGCTCAGTGCCTCTGGGTTCAATCAATCAATAATAATAATAATAATAATAATAATAATAATAATAATATATCACGAATTCTAACACCCTACCTGTGTGAATGGTACCTTATTAATGTAGTTCTGCCTAAGATGCTGAGTCTTACCCACTTCTCAAGTTCTATCAGAAGTCCTAGAAGATTTCTCTACAGAGTCTTCCTTGTCCTCCCCTCCCCTCCTCTGAATTCCTACCTGCCTCAGACCCCCTTCTCCTGCAYTACTAATTTGACTTTCATCACATTCTTTTAGTACCTCTCAGAAAGGACTATCGGCTTTATTGTCACGTAAGTTTTTCTTAAAGACAATTTGCATTCATCATTTTAAAAAATGGAGCACATAAAAAAGCATCCAAGAAAGAAAAACAAAAGGTCATGATAATATTACTGTCCCCCAAATAAACATTTACAACAACAAAATATTTCCCTGTTATTTTCAGTTCATGGGCACGTATGAGCATAGATCTAACTCCACACGCTTTACATCATGCTTCTTTCACTTAGTATATCTGGACCATCTTTATTGTCATTTGTTCTAAAAGGTGATTTTAATTGTTATATTTTAATCATTATATTTTACTCATGTAAAATATAATATTTATATTATATTATATTATTAAATAATATTTATATTATATTATTTAAATTATTAATTATGTAAATAATTCATTTAACAAATTTCCTATTATTGAGTTTTTAAATTATTTCTACTGCATCTCTCTTGTAAATACTTGTGTGATATACATTCTGAACAAACCAACCTTATATAAGTTTGTGAAAATGTTCTTTGAGATAAAGTTCCAGAAATGCATTTTCTAATGAGATATGCAAAAAAAGTCTTACTTTCATCAAGATGAGAGTGCCCATTTCTTTACACATTCAAACCCTAAATATATCTTTGAAAGCTTTGTTACTTGAAATAATAGTTTAATGAGCATATAGACCATATGTTAATTCCATCTACTGTATTAGTACTATYGAGGTCAACCTATCAATTAGACAATACTATTAAGTTTATAAAAACCCTTCTCAAAAATATAAATGAGAAAATCTGGGCATGATGGCACATGCCTATAATTCCAGCACCTTGGGAGTCTGAGGCAGGAGGATAGCAAGTTTGAGGCCAGCCTCAGCAATTTAGTGAGGCTCTAAGCAACTTAGCAAGACCTTGTCTCAAAATAAAAAATAAAAAAGGCTGGGGATATAACTCAGTGGTAACATGCCCCTGGGTGCAAAACCCTAGAAACAACAACAACAAAAATTATATATCATATATATAAACTTTATATAAAGTAAATCTTTCTTGGTCTTGGGGTCTTTAATATATATCATTATTATATACATATTATATAATATTATAATATGTATATGATATATATATATGAACAATACTTCATAGACTCTAGTAGTATAGTGCCCTCATATATAAAGTTCATAAAAATCATATGATTATGAAATAATAGTTATGAAGTACCTATTATATGATACACTAAACAATCACATAAATAAAAGTAATCCTTGACTGGATATAAATATATGTAATCTTTGTAAATGTTACTGTAAATTTTTGCTATCAAGAGTCTGATAGGCTGAAGATTTTAGTAAGTAGCTATTAAGTTCATTAGCCTCTCCTGTCGGGGGCTCTGGTAAATTCCCTTTGCTTCAATGAACACTAAAGCCATTAAAAATCATTAGAGTAATAATGATCACTCCATGATCCCTACTCCATTCTTTAACTATTCATTAATCATTGCATATTCTCTTACTAATTTATCACTTCTAGTTGCAATGGTTAAATGCATTCTAAGATGTAGAAGCTACAACATTAACTTTGTGATTTCTGCAGAACTAGCAAGGAGGAAACATTTCAGCTTTGTTATAATGCCTTTTCTAGGAAGTTCTCTTCTGAATAAGTTTTAACTTTTTAAAATCATCACTTTCCTTTTATTTCCRCTCCAGGTGTATGAAGTTCCTTTACTTGTATTCCTCATTTTGAGTATTCATTTTCTGCATTTTTATCTCTGATTTCTCTCAAGTGCAGCAAATTGGTTGTCCGCTTCTGAGATAAGACTGCTTTCATGGCTCTTATTCAAGTCCTTATCAAAGAGGAGTGGTCTCTCTTACACTTTGAAAATGGACCAGCCTTCAGAGGCAAAGCTCATCTGATGGGCTTCTGCTACTCTAGGGCCCTCACCCTTTTGAGGTTCTTCTCAAGATCACCCTAGTGCTTTTCTAGCCCCCACCCAACCTAACCTGCATCTCATTTTTATGTGAGTTTCTTTTCCCAGAAAGATTTATGAAAACGCTTCACAAAATAAAGACAAACTATTATTTGAAATATCATAGCAAAAGATAAGACTTTTGAAAAATCCATTTATTATGTGCCTAAAGTTTTCACTTACAGATGATAACAAAAATATCAAACTTTATCATTATCCCCCAAGTTGTAAACAATAAATGAACTGCTACTCATCTTTTCCTATGTCATTGTTSTGGGAAGTAGAAATTCGGCCAGTCTAGGTAGGACTCTGCGTGATAAAAATATGATATGCTTTCTCTAACGAGTACTGATGTTTTCCTTACAACATATTTAGTGAATAATTCATCAAGTATCACCCTTTTGTGAACTGGGTTTACTATGGATGAAAAATATAMTTTTAAATTATCTTAAAGTTTGGATTTGACTTAGCTGGTGTATGTTCATTTGGCACTGTTCTCTTCTGGCTATGAGTTGTACTCGGATTAATACCTATGTCAGACAGCATTGGACTTGACATTTTCACACATATAAGTTCATTTAATCATCAGATCACCTCTGCAAGGGAAGTATTGTTCCCATTTTACAGATGAGAAAATGAGGTTCAGAGAAGTMAAGACATTTGCCTGACCAAACCTCTAGAAAGGTTAGACTGGAATTTGAATCTAGGCCTATGAAAACACTCTTTCACACTTGATTTACCTCTGTAACAGTCCTGCCCCAGGCATAAGTGCCATCTTCAGGTCTTCCYCCATTTAGATAAGCCCAGACTCGTTTTGTGTTGGGTTGCTTGTACAGGCTACTCTGCTGGACTGCTTTATGTTTAGTTGCAACTGGGGAATTTTGTTTGGATTGCAGTTCTTGAACTTCCGAAAGTTGTGCCTGTCAAGAGAAGCCCAGAGAATCCCACGTTTGGAGAATTGGTTAGTGTGTGTAATGATTGTGCTGAAAGTCAGAAATACYATGTAATCATAAATTACACCCAAGATTTTAGTAAGTAACTATTAATTCTATATTGTACTTTTAAATGCATTGGTCTCTCTTGTCATGGATTCTGGTAAATTCCCTTTGCTTCAGTGAAACACTAAATCCATTAACAATCATTGGAGTAATCATAATAAGGTACTCATTTTGACTAAGTATTTACCTTTCATTTATAATTTGAAGAAATGAAAGGRTTCATGTCTCTGGACTTCTGCATAGTGTTTTTCCTACTGAGAGATTTCTTTGCATCTAACAACTGAGTTTTATTAGAAAAACACCACTTCCTTTAACCAAGAAATGCTTAAGGGAGTGTAGATGAGTGTTGTTTAAGTCCTTACTTGCTGTCTTAAAAAAAAAAAAAAAAAAAACAGCAGCTACCCTTCTACTTGCCAGATCCCTGCCAGGCAGCTTTTCATCCTACTTCAAGCATGTCCTAGTTCAGTACTTTGCATTTATTCCCTGATCAGTGATTTATCCTTCTTAGCTTGGCAAGAAGTCATATTTCTAGCAATGTCAATTTCTTTTTTCTAGTAACCTTGACTTAGGCACCCACCTAAGATTTAGTTTGAACACATTTCACAAATTTGAGAGACCCTATTAAATAGGAACAGCTCATTTTGATGAAAAACTTCACAAAGCAAAAAAGTTTTCCCCAGTCTCTATCCCCAGTCCTCTCTCTCCAAAGCTGACCTTTCTCTTTTCAACTTTTTAATGTGTGGTGATCCTGACTGATTAACCAATTGTACTGCAACCACTTTTTCAATTCCTCATTTTGAATGTCTCCATTGCAATTAGTATTTTGCTCCTTGCTCTTTTTACATATTGAGACATACCCTCAGGAGTGATGAGCAATGAAGCCATAAGGCTCAACTTGACTACACTTATTATAATTACCTTTGGACATATCCACTGGGCCTTTTTCTCTTCTTTGCTAAGGTCATAATTTCTGGTCTTCATTCAAACAAAACAGACTTTCAGATGAGCTGGCTGTCTCTTAGATAGCTACTCTCCAAATGCCAATTCAATGCTTGGCATATGCTTATGTGGTCATAAGTGACCAGATGCTAAGAATATATTAATAGTGTAATTTAAAAATTCAATATTGTACTTTTAAATGCTTATAAAAGAGGCAGAGTCTTAAATGTCTGGAATCCTAAAGAACATACCTCTGTGTGTCTTATAAGTTCCATGAGTTTAATTTCCTCTTGAGTCTGCTCAGTCCAGCCTCCTTCAACCACCACCGGCTGCACAGGGCTTTTGGTAGGAACCATAGAAGCTGGCTGACATGCTGTTACTCGCCGCCCTGGGGAAAGAAGTCTCTGGAAATGTATCTGATGATAGGCTTTCAGATTTCAAATAAATTGGTTTGGCTTTCTGTGCATAAATTATTCCACTCGGGAGAATAGGCTAAAATACTAACCATATCATAAAAGCAAATATGCCTAAGGTAATAATACCTAACAATACCTCTTCATAGAGGAGGCTTGAGGCTTTAAATGGCCAGAATGTGCACGCTCACTCTACAGATGGAAAAGAAAGATAAAATGCTGATTTCCACCCTGGCCCCAGCCTGGCATCCACRATATGGTTCAGCAGTAATTTAGTCAAATAGAATTCATGACCTTATATAGTCCCCATCATCTCTTCCAGTCTTGGAACATATGTTTTGTTCTCTTCACTAATAATAAGCCTTTCCCCCACAATTAGCTTAGCAGCCTGGAGATTAAGTATTTCTAAAATAATATTAACCCAAGAGACAGGAGCCTTTTTTTTTCTATTTAATAACACCCCATGAGCACGATTAGTTTCTGACACCTCTGCTGTGCCCTTTATGCTGTTAAGAAGCTGTGGTAAGAGAAAATATTTATCAGAATATGTGTTCTRAAGAATCACAGGCATAATTTGATAAGTGTGGGAATTCAAATTTGTGCATTCTTTMAACTAGACCACTTAAAATCATTACAAAAGAGATTTAAAAAGTCACACTTACAAAATTGTTTTCTTTTTCTGTATTGAAGATGCAGCATCACTGAATCTCCACTGATTTCTAAACTTCTTAAGTAAGCATAATGTGTTTTTAATTAATTTTTTATTTACATATGACAGCAGAATGCATTACAATTCTTACTACAYATTTAGAGCACAAATTTTCATATCTCTGATCGTAAATAAGTATAATCACACTAATTCATGTCTTCATACATGTACTGTGGATAATAATGTCCATCATATTCCACCATCACTTCTAACCCTATGCCCCCTCCCTCCA